GAGGAGGAGGAGGAAGAGAAGAAAAAGAAGAAGAAGAAGAAGAAGAAGAAGAAGAAGAAGAAGAAGAAGAAGAAGAAGAAGAACAACAACAACAACAACAACAACAAAAACAACAAGAACAAGAACAAGAACAAGAACAAGAACAAGAACAAGAACAAGAAGAACAAGAACAAGAAGAATCCCAAAGTTCAAAGACCCAGGTAAAAATTTGGCCATCTGAGATACAGTTTTCAGATTAAGAAATAGAAATAGCATATAAGTATATGAAAAAAATGTTCAACATTATTGGTCATTTGAGAAATGCAAATTAAAACAACACTGAGATTCCAGCTCACCCTTGGAAAGGGCAGCTATCATCAAGAAGCCAAACAATAAATGCTGGAGGGACTGTCAGGAAGAAGAAACCCTTCACTGCTGGTGGGAGTGCAGCCTGGTACAACCACTATGGAAATCAATGGGGAGAGTCCTCAGAAAAGCTAGGATTGGAGGTCCCATTCAATGCAGCTATTCTCTTCTTGGGTATTTTTCCAGAAGAACTGAAAACATCATACTACAGCCATAAATGTGTACCCGTGTTTATAGCAGCACAATTTGTCATAGCTAAATCTTTTCATTTTTTCCCCCCAGAACCAGGGATTGAACTCAGGCCCTTGTGCTTGCCAGGCAAACGTTTATTCTACTGAGCCACCTCCCTGGCCACACTCCCCCCTTTTTTTTTTCATAGCTAAATCTTGCCAGCAACCCAATGCCTGCTAACTGAGGAATGGATAAAAAAGATGTGCTGTTTTTAATACAATGGAGTATTACTTAGCCATAAACAAAGATAAACTTGAGGATTTAATAGGTAAGTTGATGCATCTGTGAAATAAATCAGACCCTCATGTGTAAACATCATAGTGTATTGCTAGTGTAAGAATCTGAAAGAATAAATAAAACCTGCAAGGTGCAATATATACTGTGAAAGGGAAATAATCTGTTCAAAGGAAAGGAAAAACTGAGATGAAGAAAAGGACAAAAGGAAGAAAGAAGGGAAGAAGATATGTATGTATACAGGAAAAGTTGGATAATTAATTATAATGCTGATTTATGCTGGTCTATTGAAAGCGGCAGTAAATACTTAAATGGGCTTTTTCTTCTTTTTAATTTCTTATGATTTTGTCTTTTGATTTTTAACTGTTTTTTCATGTTTATATCTTGTAATCTAAACAATGAGTTTGAATATGTTATGCAATGTAACAACCATTGTTGAACTCCTGATATTTTGTTTAGCAAAATTCTGCATAGTTTCTATTTTTTGAACTATTTTTTTATTTCTTAAACAAAAAGATGAAAACAAGCCCACCTTGACAGAAAAAAAAAAACCCAAAAATAACCAGCTTGGGTGTAGCTCAGAGGTAGAGGTAGAGTGCTCGCCTAGCATGCCCATGCCGGATTTGATTTCAGCTGTGTGATTTCCAATTTT